CTGGGTGCTGCTGTCTCCTCTGGAGCTGCTGGCTGTGGAGGCTGTGGGCGGAGCTGTGTCGGCGTCGGCTGTGGGCGGAGCTGTGTCGGCGGTGGGCGGAGTTGTGCCGGTGTCGGCGGTGGGCGGAGTTGCGCCGGCGGTGGGTGGAGTTGCGTCCGCGTCGGTGATGGGCGGACCGGCGTCGGAGGTAGGAGGAGCGGGGTAGGCGGCGGCAGTAGCGGTGAGGGTGGTCGCGACTTCAGTGTCGGTGGCAACGGCAGCGATGGTGTTCGCTGTCCCGGAAGTGGGGAACCCGGCAAGTTGATGCTGGGCACCTTGTAAGATGTACATAATGCTGCCACCGTGCCCTAATGGCTGAGCAAAAGAATGCTTAAATGGTGTTTGGGAGGTCAGTCGAGTACATTTCTTTGTCTTGGACGGAATAGTCATAGTCATATAGCATGGAAACAGATCCTTTCGTCCAACAAGTCCATGCTGGACTAATCCCAAGCTAAACTAGACCCACCTGTTTGCTTCTGGCCCATATCCCTCCAAACCTTTCCTATTCATGTACTTATCCAAATGTCTTTTAAATGCTGTAATTGTACCCACATCCACCAATTCCTCAGGAAGTTCATTTCACACGTGAACCACTCTCTGTTTAAAAAAATTGCCGCTCATATCTTTTTTAAATATCTCTGCTCTCACCTGAAAAATGTGCGCCCTAATCTTGAAATCCCCCATCCGATGGAAAAGGCAACTACTATTAACTCTATCCATAGCCCTCATTATTTTATGAACTTCTATAAGGTTGCCTCTCAACCTCCTACACTCCAGCGAAAGAAGTCCCAGCCTATCCAACCTTTCCAGGTAACTCAAACCCTCCACACCCAGCAACGTCCTGGTAAATCTCTTCTGAACCCTCTCCAGCTCAATGTTATCCTTCCAGTGTTGTTGGAACTGTATTCATTAAGGAAGTTCCATCACACTTATCACTTAAGCTATGGTAGACAGGTTTTGAGGTGTCAGGTGGTGAGTTGCTCACCATAGAATTCTCAGCCTCTGACCTGCTCTTTTAGCCACAGTATCCATATCACTGGTCCAGGTTTCTATTCATGGAGCACCAGTATGTGGAGGATTCACTATAAAAAGTAATTTTATTGTTAGAAATTATTCTGCCTAATCTCTGAATAAAAATGGCTTAACATTAGATTAACCTGTTAACCTAGGTTATGTATAACATCAGGGAGAATCTAAGCAGTGCCACTTGTGGTTTATTGAAATTCACCAGACTGACAAACGAACACTTCTATTTCTTCACTATCACAAACAATAAAACTTATTTTGGTTTATACATCATCAATATAATGTATCAAGAAAACAGTGAGATATTGGGAGCGAGCATGTATAAACAAACAATCAAATTATTATTTAGGCTATTCTAATGCAATGCATGTCTTTATGAATAGATGGAAAGATGCACAAGTGACCTCTGCCTAAATCATTTTAACTGAATACAAGTGTTCTCCACTGGTCCAGCAATTTTATCCAGTTCAATCTCATAGCTGTGCTGAACAAACTACAGTTAAGACAGGACAACCGGCCTTCATGAGAAAAAGAATGAAAAATGATAGCAAGCTATATAAGAACAAAGAACAAAGAACAAAGAAAATTACAGCACAGGAACAGGCCCTTCGGCCCTCTAAGCCTGTGCAAATCCAGATCCTCTATCTAAACCTGTCGCCTATTTTCCAAGGATCTGTATCCCTCTGCTCCCTGCCCATTCATGTATCTGTCTAGATACATCTTAAATGATGCTATCATGCCCGCATCTACCACCTCTGCTGGCAACACGTTCCAGGCACCCACCACCCTCTGCGTAAAGAACTTTCCACGCATATCTCCCTTAAACTTTTCCCCTCTCACCTTGAAATCATGACCCCTAGTAATTGAGTCCCCCACTCTGGGAAAAAGCTTCTTGCTATCCACCCTGTCTATACCTCTCATGATTTTGTAGGCCTCAATCAGATCCCCCCTCAACCTCCATCTTTCTAATGTAAATAATCTTAATCTACTCAACCTCTCTTCATAGCTAGCACCCTCCATACCAGGCAACATCCTGGTGAACCTCCTCTGCACCCTCTCCAAAGCATCCACATCCTTTTGGTAATGTGGCGACCAGAACTATACGCAGTATTCCAAATGTGGTCGAACCAAAGTCCTATACAACTGTAACATGACCTGCCAACTCTTGTACTCAATACCCAGTCCGATGAATGAAAGCATGCCATATGCCTTCTTGACCACTCTATCGACCTGCGTTGCCACCTTCAGGGTACAATGGACCCGAACACCCAGATCTCTCTGTGCATCAATTTTCTCCAAGGCTTTTCCATTTACCATATAGTTCGCTCTTGAATTGGATCTTCCAAAATGCATCACCTCGCATTTGCCTGGATTGAACTCCATCTGCCATTTCTCTGCCCAACTCTCCAATCTATCTATATTCTGCTGCATTCTCTGACAGTCCCCTTCACTGTCTGCTACTCCACCAATCTTCGTGTCATCTGCAAACTTGCTAATCAGACATCTATACCTTCTTCCAGATCATTTATGCATATCACAAACAACAGTGGCCCCAACACGGATCCCTGTGGAACACCACTGGTCACAGTTCTCCATTTTGAGAAACTCCCTTCCACTACAACCCTCTGTCTCCTATAAACTATGTTTAGTCTGTCATTAGGGCATTTTATTGCAGTACAGTTGTCTTAAGAACCTTAAGATGCTCAATCTAATTGCCACATGATGAATCCTGCTGGAAAGCAGATCTTTACTTTTGGTAAAGTAGAATTAGGCCTTGTTGTGATATTCTTGATGGTTAAATAAGCTGATAGCACTCACTATGCAGATTCTGGCTTTAAGAACAGAAGGGGTAATGTGAAAAAAACATTGACAATCAAAGAGCAGATTGATATTAAATGTTTGAATTAATTAACAAACAGGAAATAAATACAATACTATATGACAATACCTCAACATCACTGAAGAGAACATCTGGAGGAGTGATACCGTTTTTCTTGGCAGCATGTCGGAGTAGTCCTTCAGCTTCCTTTACCCTGCCCTTTATCAACAACCAGCGTGGAGATTCAGGAATAAACCTGGTATTAAAAGTATTTTGTTTTAAATAAAGAATATGAATGTCATACAAAGGATTTGACCAGTTACCACTAGTATTAAAGTACTCCTTAACAATCATTATCAACATATAACTTTCTTCTCTTCAAAGTGTGGATTCAGACATGACAATCGAAGAGAATAATACAAAACATAATGCTTAATTTAAAATTTAACAGGGTGACAGAAATGCCTAGATCATAAGTGCATTGGCAAAGGACAGTTGATCTTGGCTACAGTCTTGCCCTGATAGAGTATAATGCAGAAGCATCTAAAGACAAAAAGCAAACTTAAGTAAATCTTTGTTTTCATCTTCTATATAAAGCATCATGTGGAATTGAAAATCTAGCACTTTATACTTCTGTTACATTTCAATTCTATTCTTTTATTTGTTGAAAAATCAGCAGGCCCTACTGGCAGCATGCAATTATCCCGAATACATTTTTTTTTGTGCTCTGCACAGTCTATGTGCAATGACTCACACAGTAATGGTAAAAATCCATTCTATCCCATACGTTTGAAAACAAACTCCAGGCAGAGTGAATATTTGGCTGTATTTCACAGGGTTTTTGGGGTTCGACTGGGAAGTCGGAAGGCATTGGGTAACCCATTCAGTGATGGGGAGGGGATGGTTTGGGTAGACATCCATTGCATGGGGAGAAAAATAGGTCACCCCTGGTCACTTCGGAGCACACTCCAGCTGTGAGCAAGGGCTTCTCTTTGCTCTCTGAATAAGCACCCTGCCTGCAATAGTAGTCCCATAGTATCAACATTTCCTGCATTCACAATCCACCTATCCCACAGGAAGCCAGGCTTCACAAGTCTTTTGTGTATGAACATCAACAATAAAGAAGAACAACATGTATTTATATTCCACAGTTAATCAAAATGTCCATTAATTATTTCTTTGGATTGCAGAGGCAATTTGTTTAACTGAGCAGCCCCCTTTAATTTTTTTAAAAGCCACATAACCATGACAATTTAAGGGGATAACTGCCTCATCTTTATGGGGGCTTTCATTTGCTGCATAGATATACAGCTTAAAGCGAACATTTCAGCCAATGTACACCTTAATATGCTTTCTGTTGATCAATGGAGATGGTTCTGTAGAAGACAAATATGTTAGCGATTGGACATACAAGGAAGCATTAAAGACCACAGCCCTGTTTGACGAGAAATGTTTTTAACATGTTTTGGAAGGAAATAAAACCTGGAGCAAAGCAAAGAATTTTTGGGGGAAATCCAACACCTTGGGAATAATGACAGAAAGTCTGGGACAACAGCAATCGTTCTGATTCCGAAAAGTGCCAATCAGCATGTAATTTCGTGTTTCCTCACAAGATAATTTATAATTTTCTGGTATGATTCCATCAGGGCCTATTACATTGATATATCAAAGTATATATACATATAATATAAATGCATAAAATGATTTGATGTAACAATTTATAGAGATGGTCTCCATGCAGAAAGAAGGATACTTACCTGAGAAGGTTTGCAGAGAAGACCCACTACACTGCTTTTTGGGAGAAGGGATTGCCTCAAAAGGAGATACCTTCCAGAGAGTTTGGAAGTATAATGAGGGATCCTACTGAGACATATATAAAAAAAAGCAATTTGACAGGGTAGATACTTGTCAGGTTACTTTCTTTTGGCTGGAAAGTCTAGAACTCGGAGACATAGTGTAAGAATAAGGAGTGGTCTTTGCAGGACAGTGGTTCAGGGGACATTTCTTAACCCAAAGCATTTTGAATATTTCAATAACTCTACCATGAGGGTTTTGGATACACAGTCATTGAAAGTGAGATTGACAGATTATTTTGATATTAAGGATATCAACAGACATGGTGCTAGTGCAGAAAAGTGGAATGCATTGAAGAAGATCAGCTATGATTGTTGAATGGCAGAATGGAGTGCAAGTGCCCAGGTTTCAATTCTGGCTGAGTACAGTATACCTGCTGCATCTCTTTTACTTTAATTTCCAGTTTCCAATAGGTATATTTATACTATCAATCACTTACTGTCCTACAGGATTCAGAAAAGCTCTGAAGTGTGATTTTCAAAGCTAGAGTCTGTTTTGGTGGACTTTATCTGCCTCAAAAATCATGTTCTTAAAATCAGCTTCCGCCTGAGCAGTAATCTCATAGAAAATCACCTCCTCATTGTAGAACACACTTGATTTTAAATACACTGTTTTCAATCTGGTAAAATTGGATGAGTGTTAGAATGGCCTTTTGATGGCTATCACATAATTATTTCCTGAGCAGTGAAGGTGCAAATGATCCTGCTGAATATTTACTCTCTCACTGCAGTCAAGGGGACATCACTACACTAATTCAGGATCAATTCTAATCCCCATCCTTACCTTCATCCAAGAAGTACCCTAAAGTTTCTTCTTCTTGATAAGAATCAATGACAGAAGTTAATGACAATAAAAGTTCTTAGCTAGTGATGATATAGGTTAAGGTTCTAATTCCTACTTACCACCACAAAGGAACGTACAACACGCCAGAGACAGACAGGATGAAAAGCAACATCGACCAGCTTCGTATGAAGTACGCTACCAAAGGAAGGGCCATGTAGCCGATTGCATAAGGAATAAAAGCTCCCAGTGTCGCGAATATAACCCGAATGGATTTCCCAAGAAGCTCAGATCCTGTAAGAAGAGAATAGCCAGGTCAAGGATGACAGCAACTGTAAATTATTTCTTAATTTTATTTCATTGCCTAGTATCACCGCTCTGAAGGAAAGTATTCTTCTGTGTTGATTCAGAAAAGCTTTCAACAATTAAGATGAATACTCCCTAAGCACAATACAGAAACAACAAACCAAGCTCAGTGAAAAACACCAGTCCATCACAGTCCATCACCAGTCCAACACCAGTGATCACAGTCCATCTTATGTATGGCACATGGTAGGGAGAAGGGGAAAATGTGATTTACATTTGAAAAGCAATTAAAAACTGAGATGTCTAACAGACCTGAAATTGGAGATAATTACCTCTGTCTATGAGTAAGTAATGACAGTCAGCCACAATAATAAACCAGGTTCATACTTTTGGATGCTCTCCAACCGTTTTACATTTTAAGTGCTGCAACCGATCCCTTCGTTACCATGTATCAGGCACCAATTCACTTCGAATTGCATTTCAAAATTTAAACTATTTACTTCTGCTTTCTTTAACATATCCACAGTTTCTGATTTACTCAATAACACCCTCATCCCCACCTGTGATGTCCTCACCCCAATAAAGCTATGACTCTCTTTCGCCTAGTGCTCATGCTTTTACAGTCCTCTTCTCCATTTCCTTACTTCTAAGGCACCCAGAATATATATGATATGGTGGATAACTGGCTTAGACATTCTCTGTCAAATGTGGCTGGATCAGTCCTGCCCTTATCTGTTAAATCTCTTCACCATTTCATGATCATCCTGAAATGCAAAAAAACTAAGACTTTTTCTCACTGCAAACCATTTACTTAAACCCTGCCCCTTGCCTCTGCTACCTTCACCTTCAACTATAGAAGGAAAGAATGAGAAGACCTCATGGACATTTTTGTCAATAACACCAAAGCCATCTAATCAGTTTGCAGGTGTAAAAACCAGTAACGTTTTGAAATGAGCATGCTAGTCATACTGCAGCTCCATTTTGAAAAATAAGTTGGAATCATATGTGCCTTTTGCCAGTTTTACTGTTACTTTCACTGTTGGTTACTCCTGTGGTTTTCCTCCCTTTCAGCAATCCACCTGAACATACCTCCACTGAAGTCACCCTAGCCATGAACTCACATCTTTCTCTCTACGGTCTCATCTCATATCGTCTCCAATCTCATCTTGTCCAATGACAAACACCTCCAGCACCTTTACGTCTCTTCCCAATAAACTGTTCACCAAACTCTTCATCCATGTTAGCTGATAACATTAATGGCTTTCTTTCTTCATGTAGTACTCTCTTCTCCTTTAAAAAAGTGGTCATCAGTCCTCTCAAATGACAAATACTTAACCTCACAATCCTTGCAAACCATATCCCATCTCCAACCTCCATCTCCACCCCAAAGTCAATGAATGTGTTGCTGCCTCCCAAAATCCATGCTTCTCTTTCCTCAAAGCCAATGTTTAAATCTCTCCAATTGGGTTTCTACTATTGACACAGACTGCTTTTACTAATTTGTAAATTAAATCCTTTATGACCCTGATAGAGATAAAACCTTATTCCTGTCATTCTCAATCTATCTGCAACATTTGACATAGTTGACCCCTCCTTCCTCCTCCAACACCTCTCCATCCAGATAAAGGGAGCTCTATTTGCATAGTTCCATTCTCTATCAAAGAGTAGGTAGAGAATCAACTACAGTAGTTTCCCTTTCAGCTCTCACTCAGTTACTTTTGCTGTCCCTCAAATACCTACTCCTGGCTCCCCCTTTTATTCATTCACATGATAAGGGCGTCACTGGCTAGGCAGCATTTATTGCTCACCCTAATTGCCCAGAGGGCAGTTAAGACTCAATCACATCGTTGCTTCCTAGACTCATCTACATATTATCCTTCAGTGACATCACCCATAATTACAGAAATACGTTTTTACAAATCATCATTGAATCATAGAATCGCTACAGTGTGGAAACAGGCCCTTCGGCCCAACAAGTCCACACCGACCCTCAGAGATACATGGGCGATTTCTAGTTCTACCTCTCCTCTTCCTCTCTTGACTTCTACACTATTGTTAAATTACAGGAATGTTCAACCAACATGTAGTACTGGATGGACAGAAATTTTCTCCAACTAAAAACTTTAAGATGTCCAAAGTTATTGTCTTCCACTCCACCACAACCGACATTCCCTAGCTGTTGACTCCAATCCTTTCCCCTGTAAATGTCTTTGGCTCAAGCAGGCTACTTTATATTATACTTGGCCCCAAGATGAATTTTCAAATACATATCCGTACTATCACTGAGACAATCACATTCTACCTCCACAATACAGGAATAATAAGGTGAGAAAAAAAAAACATCACATAGCTTCACCAATGTCTCAGCTTATCAGCTGCTGAAACCCTCAACATTTCCTTTGTTATCTCTAGAGGAGACTACTGCAACACAGTGCTGATCAACCATGAGGTCATCCAAGACTTTGCTTTCCATGCCATAAATTGTGCTAAATCCCATACCCACATCATCCATATGCTTGCTATCCTGCACAGACTCTTCATTGAACAGCATGTCATTCTAAAATTCTCATTACTACCCTTACACTCAAGTCCTTCCATAATCTTAAACTTTTCTCTTTCTTTAGTTTCCTCCAACTTCATAACGTCTGAGATATCTGTGTTGCTCTAATTCTAGCCCCTTGAGCGCTTCTCTCCACTCATGGTGACTATGCTTTCAAAGCCCCATTCTCTGGAATTTCCTTGCGAAACTTCTCAACATTTCTAAACTTCCTATCTTCTACATGTCATTCCTTGAAACTTACCTCTTCATCCAACTTTTTAGTTATCTTCCCTAGTTTCACCTCATGTAGCTCAGTTCCCAATTTTACTTTATACCTACCTTGGGATATTAAAGGCACAATATAAATATTAGTTTTTGCTGTGAGCTCTGAAGCAAATGTTGGCTAACCTCCTTGTTTTCCTTCTTGTATCCTTTTCAATAAAGATTTATCGACATTTTCAAAACTGTTATAAATAATGGCCATTTTTGGCCACACAACACTGCAACAGGCATCTTAAGATCTACCAGCATCAGTTTTGTCTTTCAACCACATCAGAAATGAGCCATCTGAATGGACAGACTCCCACCACGTCAAGTATTAATATTGTGAAGGCACATAAAATCTCAATTATATAAATTGTAAATCCCTTTAAGTCTTTCTATTCTACCTCAATTTCAGCTTTAGTGCATTTATGACAGACATTTTTTGCATCAAACGGAAATACTTTGAAGGGACTGGGGCCTCAGAGCTCAAACCTTCTCTTAATCTGAATACTGAATATGTGTACTTTCCACTATTGGGTCCAGTCATTGAGAGAAGATAAATTAGCATTTCTTCTGGGACGCTACAGTTAGCATAAAATAATGGAACTCCCAGAAAAGAAATAATGATGTTTGTAAATATTATAATCCAAAGAACAGTGGACTGACAATGAATACTGGAAGGTGCCAATGCTGCTTTCAAAATTCAATGGTTGTCATTGCTGTCATTGCTTTAGTTTGGTAAGCTGACCCTAATCAGCATCTGCATGTTTATGTGCTGTTTGAGGAATGACAACATCATTCAAAGGAGTCTGGGGATAGAAAGTGATTTTTGTCAAATTAGTTTGATGATGAACATCTTGGTCAATTATTTTGCATTCTGTCATGACTAGAAATGTGCACATGCTCACGAAACTTGGGGCTTAGTAGGATGATGGCACCTAAACACAGAAGCTGTACTGCTGAATTCATAGGACTGGGAGTTCTCACTACAATTTTCTGAACTTTTAGTTCAGCAATGCAGAGATCAATTCCAATATTTCATTGATCACCATATCTCAGATCAGATAATTCAGCACAATTCAGTAATTAAGTCAGTGATCTCATTGTGTTTGAAACCCTGAAATTATTGGATCATTTGACAAGGGAATGGACGATTTGAAGGAGGTCAGGAACTTGGGCTAGTTCTTCCCAGAAATAAAATCTATTTACAGGAGACAGTTAAATCCCAGTAAGTTGGTTGTGGGTGGATTTTCTGGCAAACCCATGTCAAGGAGGGATATCCTGGGAAATACCTGATCTCCCATAGAGAATTCTACTCATTTCAGCTGAAATAAAGCCTAATGAGAATTCACAAAGCTGAAAACTTAGATTCTACTGTCTGAATCTGAAAAAGGCCCAGAACGGAGAAGAATCAAAGTACTTATATGCTTATATGACTTCCCTGAAAAACTTGTTTCTGCGGCGAAAACTAAATCCCTTAAAGAACAACATCATTTGAAAGAATTTTCTACATCTAGCTATGTTAATGAGAGCTTATACATGGAGACCACTAATTGGGGTCAGTGAACAGTCATTGAAATAAGTATTCCACGCTTGTGGAAAATGGGAATTTTTTTTTCATTTTGAGAACTCAGTAAATAAAGAATACTTTGAAATAAACATGATCTCACAAGAGTTTAAAAGACAAACAACCAAACAGATGGATCAAAACTGAGTCAGTGATTTTCCTGTGAGAAGAACATCAGGAAAGTGCAGGTCAGCAGAACACATGAGTCCAGATTTTCCAGGCCCAATGTATGAACTATACAGTAATTTCGAGTGAAAATTAACTTTCTGATCGGCAGTTATCCAGTTTCTGGAACATTTGCAAAAGTCCTGCCATTGAGTTACATCAGAGCCATCACAGGACTACGACTCAGTTACCTTAAATGTTAACCAGTTCAAGTTAAAGGATTAAAACCTGCTATAGGAGCAGAATTAGGCCATTTGGCCCATTGAGTCGGCTTCACCATTCAATAATGGCTGATATGTTTCTCAAACCCATTCTCCTATCTTCTCCCTTTAACCCTTGATCGTCTTACCAACCAAGGACCTATTTATCTCTTAAATGCATTCAATGACTTGGCTTCTGCTGTCCTCTGTGGCAATGAGATCCACAGATTCACCACCCTCTCGTTGATGAAATTCCTTCTTATCTCCGTTCTAAAGGGTGGTGTCTTCACTTTGAAGTTTTGTCCTCGGGTCCTAGTCTCTCCTAATGCTGGAAACATCTTCTCCACGTCCAGTCTATCCTACCCTCAAAGTAGAGTTCAGAAGGATGAAGAGGGAATGAATTGAAACTTAAAGAATTCTGAAGGGCCTGGACAGAGTGGACGTTGGGAAGATGATTTCATTGACAGGAGAGATAGGACCTGAGGGCACAGCCTTAGAGTAAAGGGAAGACTCTTTGGAACGAAAATAAAGAGAAACTTCTTCAACCAGAGAGTGGTGAATCTGTGGAATTCATTACATCAGGGGCTGTGGAGGCCAAGTCATTGAATGCATTTAAGACAGAAATAGATAAGTTCTTGATTGTCAATGGCATCAAAGGTTACGGGGAGAAAACAAGAGAATGGGTTTGAAAAACTTATCAGCCATGATTGAATGGCAGAACAGACTTGATGGACCGAATGGCCTAATTTCTGTTCCTTTGTTTTATGGTCTTATTCTGTAAGTTCCAATCAAATCCCTCTCATTCTTCTAAACTCCATCAAATACAGGTCCAGAGTCCTTAACCACTCGTCATATGTTAAGATCTTTAGTCCTGGAATCACTGTTGTAAACCTCCACTAAACCCCCTTCAAAAAGGGCTATCTATGTCCCTCTATAAGTCACCCCTCAGCCTTTGACACTCCAGGGAAAATAGCCCCAGTCTATTCAGCCTCTCCCTATAGCTCAACCCTCCAGCCTTGGCAACATCCTGGCAACCCTTTGAAGTTTCACAACATCCTGCCTATAGCAGGGAGACCAGAATTGAAAGCAGTATTCAAAAAGTGGCCTAACCAATGTCCTGTACAACCACAACATAACCTCCAGTTCAGAGATGAATTGAGGTAATTTCTTAAAGCAGCACCTTTTGGAACCAACCAGGGAGCAAGTTATATTAGACTTGGTATAATTGCATGTGACAGATTAATAACCTCAAGAGCAAAGGCAACTCTACGCGGCAGCAATAACAGTATGTCCAGTTTGAAAGGGAGAAGACTGAGTCTAATCATATTAATTTTTAAAGATAAATAAGGACAATTACATGGCATGCAAGCTGACCTAGCTGAAGTGAAACTAGGCTAGGGGATAAATCAAATAAAGATGCAGTAGCAGCCATTTAGGAGGGTATTTCAGAATACTCAACAATAAATATGTACCTGCTAAAAAGAAAAATGTTAAAGGAAAGACCCAACATCCATGTTAATTGAAGTAGTCATGGGCAGCATCAATCTTGGGATAAAACCATAACCGTGCACAGATGAGCAGAAGATCAGATGATTGCTCATAAGAAAGTACAGTACACTGAAATGTTAATCAGGAGGGAGAAATTAGAGTATGAGCGAAATACAAAAACAAATAGCAACTTTTTCCACGGATAACTAAACAGAGAGTAAGGCTTTAAAATGAGAATGGGAGTTAATAGCAAGTAAGGGAATATTGGATGAAATGAACAAATATTTTGCTTCTGTCTCCACTATAAAAGAATACAAAACATTTCAGTAATAGCTATAAATCGGAGGTGGAAGGGAGAGAGGAATTTCATGAAATTACAATCATGAGGGAAATGATACCAAGCAAACTGATGGACTGTGCCCTGCCAAGTATCCAGGCCCAGATAGTCTTCATCCGATGGTCTTAAAAGAGGTGGCTACTGAGCAAGGTAATAGTTGTGTTGGTGTTATAAGTTTGGAAAATATAACCCTTGACTCAGGAAAGGTTCATGATAGGAAAATAGTAAATATATGTCCTCTATTCAAGACGGGAGGGAGGCAGAATTCAGGAAACTTTAGGTCAGTCAGCTTGACATCTATTGTGAGGAAGATATTAGAAACAATCATTAATGAGGTTATACCTGGGAATTTATGAAAACTCAATTCAAATCAGGAAGCATTGGTGTGAAAAGGAAATAGTGTTTTACCAATTTATTGGAGTTCTTTGAAGGAGTAAACATGCATTGTGGATAAAGGGAGCAACTCCAGAATTAAAGGACTTGATTTTAAAATTAGGAGGGTCCACTTAGGACCCTCGAGACGGGAAACACAAAAACTCTTTTGTTGTAGTAAGGTACCCTTTTGATAGGTTCAGGGATACCTTTGGGAGAGTTAGAAGGTGCTCTTTGGGAAATGTCAATCGTACTTCAGCAAAAGTCAGGTGGCCTTTGGGATTGTTAGAAGTAGACATGAGTGTGCATAACAGTGTACAAACTCATTGGAACTGTCAAGATGTCCAAAGAATTGCCATGCTGATTGGAATTGACAAGCAGTCAAGAGGACTTTCAAGGTGATTGGATCCGTCAAAGGACTTAAATCTTTTGGCATTTAAAGCTTTTTTGTTAAAAAAAAACTCCAGTTCACAAAAATCAGTGCTTTGCATTTTACTCTGCCAGCTGACATAAACCTGGGGGCTATCATTGTGGGAAATATACTGCATGATGAAGTCACAACCCATCATTATCACATTGGGTGTCTATCAGTTCACAGTTTGATAGGCTAACTAAATGCTTGGAGCTGTCTAACTCCAGTTATAACCTGATTCCCACACTCCCTCGTTCCCCATGCATGTGTGCTGGAATGTCATCGATTTTCAACTGGATCTGTCAAAGGACTTAAATCTCTTGGCATTTAAAGTTTTTTTGTTAAAAAAACACTCCAGTTCCAAAGAAATTTTGTAAATAACTAAAATGGAGTTACAATTTTGTAATATTTAGATTATTCTTGCAGTTTTTTTGTATCAAACCGAATTTCCGAATTTTGTGAATTGCAGCTTTTTTTACATTGCTTTTTCTATAATTCAGTAAATGCCCGATTCCCAATCCCATCAGAAACATTATTGCTGCTTGTCACATTTCAGAGTATTTTGACCACTACTCCACAAAAAGAAATTCAGCCTCACAATTCAATAGGTGTTCTCCCGGTCTTACGAGCCAATATGCGAACACTGGAACTTGGTGTCATGTTAATTATGTCAAAATCCTGTGGGGTACTGGGGGAAGGGCTAATTAAAATATTGAATAGTGTAGATACTTACCAAGAACATAGGCAGCCACCAAGTTTGAAATTTGTCCAAGACCCACAAGGAAATTGAGAACGCAGAATATCTCCCAATTTGGAGAGAATGCTTGAAGCATGCTGAATACAGTCTGGACTGCCATAGTTCCAAACATAACTAACTTCCTTCCAAACCTGCAAAGCAGAAGCAGACCAAGTTTGACCCCTATACATTACTGCATACTTGCTATTATATACCTAATCTCATGCATGTAATTGTTCACATACTAATTTACATAAACTGGTACACATACAACATCTATACTCTCAACTGAACACAGACCTCGGACCTCTCTATGAACACTTCGGGTTGGAACTTTTGGTGGAAGGGGGAAATCGACTACTAAATGGGAGATGGGGTAGGGTGAACTGGATGGTTTGTGTATGTGCTTCCACGAGTATGTGCATGGTGCACACACTCGTTTGTGTGTGAGACTGTGTGTGTGTGTGAATGTGTGCGTGTGTGCATTTGAAAGTGTGTCCCCATGTGGGTGTGTGCATGTGTCAGTGTATCTGCATGAATGCGTTGTGGGTGTGCATGTATATGTGTGTGTGTTTGCATGTATAGGAATGTACATTTACATGTGTGGTGCGTGTGTGTGTGTGCTTGTGTGTGTGTGCGTGTGCGTGTGCGTGCTTGTGTGTGTGTGTATGGTGTGTGATTGAGTCAAACCGTTTATAGCTTCCCACTAACCTGATTAGCCAGCAGTCTGAGCAAATAAGCAAGGGGAGAATTCAATGGTGGGTGCTGTCGAGCCTGTGAGAAAGTACAGGGAAAAGTGGGCGCGGCCACTGGAAAAAGGCACAAATAGAATTTTAGGGTATGGGTGAATCATATTGCCTTCAGGGCATGGCATTGCCCCTGTTTACATAAGACACCCCCTTCCAACTGATGTTCCCTTACTACTCTGGCCTGGCTGCATTGCCAAGTGTGACTGTTTTCCTTTTGGAATCACACCAAATTATGTAATTAAAACATCTAAACAGTAACAATTAGCAAGCACTGCCCACCAGGGGCAGGCCCATGAGCTGGTACCCCAACTTGCCCACTCCTCTGTGCGTCGGGTAATAAAGATCAGGCTTAAGATGGGGCTTACGTGCAACTAAAAAGAAGAACACAAATTTTGTAAACAACCAAAATGGAATTACAACTGCACACATCACCATTTATGTGGCCCAGGGATTCCACGGCAACACAGAATAAATAATTCGACTGAGAGTCCACGAACCATCTTAATTTACAGTTGCACAGGACTGCTGCCCAATGCTTTCCATTTTCCAGTTAACCTCTTCAGAGATGTTAGTACACACCATTGAAGCAGATGGGACTTGAATTATGGCCTCAGAGGCAAGGCTAGTAGCACTGCAGCATAAGGGCACTTCTATGCCCAGTATTTTAGACATTTCCTTTATGACAATTGACATTAAACCTGCTTTTTATTGCAAATTTTTATTGAGTTCAAATTTCCCCATCTGCCATGTTGGGATTCAAACCCATGTTCCTGGAATATAAGCCTGGGGTTAAAATTGTTTCAGAGATAGTAGGAACTGCAGATGCTGGAGAATCTGAGATAACAAGGTGTAGAGCTGGATGAAGAAGGGTCTAGGCCCGAAATGTCAGCCTTCCTGCTCCTCTGATGCTGCTTGGCCTGCTGTGTTCATCCAGCTCTATACCTTGTTATGTTAGCCTGGGGTTTTGGATTGCCCAGCCCAGTGACACTACCACTATTCCACTCCCTTCCCATCTGACCAGCATTTTGTAGCGGTGGAGATAGACCAAAGTCCTTGATTGCCAATTGGCTGGACAGTTAAAGATCCCGTTAGGCATAAGATATGGCCAAGAGTGTGCCTCACCCGGCAGTTTATCGGGAAGGAGGTGGGCTGGGCAGTCAACTATTTAATGTCCCCACATTGACAAAACATGCCCAACAGAGCAGTTGGTGGGGAGACTAAAATCCAGACCTTAGATTTACACAGAAATAAATGAGGATCTTGTTGGGACACATGCACCATAACTTTGGTAAGAGTACACCACAAGGTTTAGAAATTATGTTAGGGTTGTGCTTTTGAGATTGAAGGATGGCTTGCTGCCTATGTCACTTTTTGAGGGAGCAGGCATGGAGGAGGGAACAGGTATTGTCATGTGATAGTAGGAACTGCAGATGCTGGAGAATCTGAGATAACAAGGTGTAGAGCTGGATGAACACAGCAGGCGAAGC